AGTTCACCTAGAGTAGTGCCACTTCGTCTCACTGTATTATTCTTAAATCCCGAGTTATGTGGCCTCGGCGAAGCTTATTTTAAAAATCCTTCAGATGGTCGTCGCTGTACTGATATTGACTATCACATCGCCCGAAGCGAGTCTCAGAACGAATCTAGTGCCCTTTAGGCCACATTCCTGTTGTTTTTAGCCCGTTTTATGTGAGCCATGGATTGTACTAGTGGCATCTTTACCTTTTATATTATAAATAGTCGTCAATCTTTTATTAATGTCATGACTAGTTTCTAGCCTACTAGATTTTATCTTACAAATTATAATATTCAACTTGTTTTTTAAACATTGGTATCAAGTTGGGTAGTAGGCCCAAGTGCCACAGTCATCCTTAGGATTAGAGTTTCTCAGCGTAAACGCCGCTCACAGCCTCGTATGTTTTTGTGTATATTTCTGAAGATATATCTCACGGCGGAGAACGAACCAATTAGTCTTGTCTACGTACTTATTGTTACTTTTCGTTCACCGAGCACCCTATTTCATATCTAGTTGTACTCTTTGTCCACTGCCTCGTGGCTCGTTCTGCCTAGTAGCTAAATGGCACTAGGCCTGACATCTTGCGTGTAATACGGACAAATCGACGCATGAATAAAGATGTCACCGCCAAGTACTACTCTGATCTTTATTGAGTGAGACAATTTCATAATTGTCAATAGTTATCAACTGATACCTACTTGATCATCATTCCAAACATAATTGAATGGTAATCAAAGATGATCAAGGAAAATATTCACTTCTAAATTGTATATACAGCTCTGTGTCTGAAGAGTCAATGTACATGTAATAAGGCTGCCTTGTCCTCCTGACGACCAGTGTCAGTCATGGGACTAGGTAAGGTACATGTAAGATCCCTGAAATATGGTGGCATCTTCATTGAGCTTTGGACAGGGAGATTAACGAGTTTGGGTAGCCTCTATCAGACCTTTCTGTCAATTTGAAAAAAAGTTGTAGAAATTGGTCAAAAGATAGGTAAATGGTCGGGGGACATGAGTTGTCTTGGAGAACAATCCGTTCAACTGATGGTTGCAAATGGTAACTCTATAGCTGGCACACTCCTCATCAACCGATATTTGGCCAACTTCTACACTGACTGTTATTCTTGCAACTCATGGAGTCTGAAAGGGTAGAATTTGGGTAAAATTTTGCTGCTCTTATATAGCTAGGACTAATAATATTTTACATTACCATTAAATAGTTACGATCTTCACATAAAATTCATCTATAAAACATGGTCAAAATTTGTGTGCATGTGGGAAACTGTTTATGTGCTGGCAGTGGAGGGAATATACATGTATTGTGTGCAAACACACATCAAAGCACTTGTCTTTTACATCATGAAATTTCCAATCTCTTGATGCTACATATATCATAGTCTGCATAGTCTGACACCAATTCCATAGCTATATTCTATAACTAAATCAAATTCTATCTTCAATAATACCTGGCCTATGCAGTAGGATAGTGCATTTTAAAAACAACACAAGTGAACATTGCATGACAGTACATCTGAATTATGCATGTCAAACCATTGGTAGTCGGAAATGGGCGTCCCTTTGGGTTTTACGTAGCATGACCTTATAGGGTTCCTAAACTTTATATATCTTTAACTTGTATACATGTGCAATGTATGTTAACATTTGAAATTAAAACAAAAAACAAAGCAAGCCAAAACAGTTTGATAGTAATAGTATTGGATTTTGTTAACCACTAGTACTCTATGGATGCTATATATTACCAAATGTGTACAGGTATGTTGTGAAGTTAGAAGTCGTAGGTTTAAAACAACCTGAAGAAAATAATGAGGAAATCTTACCACACTTGGCTTGCAAAAATTCCATGGAATCCTACTATCTTCTGAGAAACAACTATTGAAGCTGATGGTGCTGTTTGAATGCTGTGACCTGGAGAGGCCAAAGCCCTTTACTTGAGAAGGCTTACATGCTCTCTTAAAATAATTCACTCCAAAAAAACAAATGTAATATCATTAACAATATGAAAACTCAGAAATGCTGCCTGCAGCACAAAAACTGTGAATCCACTGTCTACTGTGACAGGTAAAGTGTGGTGTTGATGGAAGGAAAATGATTTTATGTCATTTCATGTAAAATGACAGGGAATGGAAAATACAAAACCTTTGCTAATTAAAAATAACTACAGACAGAAAGCACATAACTGTAATACCTCTGTGTACACATGGCTTGTCCATAATCTAAAAATATTCTATCAAATCACACCCAGTCTCACAAACTATTCAACATAGAATTCAATACAATATCAGCTCTACCTAGCTAAAGTATTTCACGCAATGACTGCAAAATGAATTTAATGCAGTCACCAAGCAGGAAGACTGTGTATGTGTGATCAGACTTTCTGTACATAGTTGCCGGGAAATAGTCCCTCTTTTCCTCGTATCCTTCCGCGCCACCAACCAGAGGCATCTGTAAAAATCAACAAAAGTTGTAAGTTCTTAACCAGACTTCAGATACATTCCAGCAACTTCAGATTGAGTCCAAATTATTACTTTAATCCAATGTCCATATACTTAAAATTACACAGTGCATCATGTATGTGTAAAGGTTCTATATTAATTCCATAGCATAGTCACCTTCATTCACAATCTCAATGACATCATCAGCATTGAAGCTCAGCTCATCAGTGTCCTGTGCATCGTAAGCCCACAATGCTTTGCACTGGGGTAGGGACGGCTTGGGTTTTGGTTTGGGCTTGGGTTTGTTGGGAGCAATGTTTGGCCTCACTTTGGTCTCAATACTTCGCCTGTGGGCACTACAACAACAAGATAGGTAATGTTACAGTTGGGAGCAGGTAAGTTACTAATTAAATAAGAGCAGGGATCTTAGCCACTTGGTGCTGTATGGAAATACTTAACCTTTTAGCTGTAGCTGTTTGGCAACTAATTTCTCTATAGGTTATGGGTTAGGCAACAAAGAGAAGGTTACTTTTACTTGTAATTTGACATAACTTCATTTTATATCAAGGGAACTTATTGTCATTGAAGCATCAAGAAGTAGATTTAGAGCTGTTGAGAAAAGCAAAATCCGAATGTCCTTCATTGTAGGTCATGTTTAATATAAAGAGGGTTTAGAAAATTCATATCAATGCATTGTTCACAGCCTTAAATCCCAGGATAATGATGAAATAATCTACTTGGATTTAGAGATGAGTAAGATAATCTACTAGTAGATTAAATGTATCTCACCATTATCCTTGGATTTACAAGTAGATTATCCCTATGGTTTATTGAATGACTACATGAATTATTAAAAAGGACTGGAATTACAGAGCTTTTATTAGACAAATCGAAAATTACATGTAGCTGTCATGGGTAACAAAAAGCTAAATTGTTATGAAGACCGCAAACAGGTCTTGATGAGGCAATCTGACAACTTTATAGAATACCTAAAAACTTCTTTGTATGTAACTTCCCAAGAATGTTGCATGCATTTTAATCTTGTGGATGCCCAGAGGATATCATCATTATTTTTTCTATCAAGTCAGTATTGCCCAATATTTACTGGAGGCAGTAATGCCTGTGTTGGTGGAGGTTCAACTGTTATGGTCTGCACTAGCCTTACCCCGCCTGTCCCGCCTCGGGGGTTCTTCTGAGAAACTCGTCCAGTTCCTTAGACTTGGAGGCCTGCCGTGCCATCCTCTGGGCACCGACCGCGGGCATCTTTGGGTGTTCTACGGACGTCGTCCTCTGGAACCGGGCTTGTCTGGCTCTGATGTCTGAGCCTGGTACTGCTCCATTCTGGATGTTGCCTGCTAGCAAACATCAAAGTGAATGAATTGAACAAAACTATCTAATATTAACAGTTTTATCACTGAAGTAAGACTATTCACAAAATTAACTCTGCAATGAAAAATAATCGCTTAAAAAAAGCTGTACTTCAAGAGTGTTTCTTGTCTTGATGCTAGATTATTTTTTAAAACAAGTTGTAAGTTTCATACTTGGAGGGGGTGGCGCAGCCACTGTTGGTGGGGGTGGCGCTCGACCCATGGGTGGTGGGAACCTACCACTTGTTGGTAGGGGTGCTGGGGCTCTACCACTGGTGGGGAGGGGTGCTGGGGGTCTACCACTTGTTGGCAGGGGTGCTGGAGGTCTGCCGCTTTGCGGGAGAGGCATCTGTGGCCTGCCAGTCATGGGTGATGGAGCGGGGGCTCTCCCCCCCATGTGTGATGGTGCTGGTGCTCTGCGGGCGGCGTGACCTCCTCGTGTGCCCTGCGTGACCTGCCTTACTCCTGGCCCTACCACAAGAACACAAAATAGAACCATTCTTTTCACTGCAGAATCATGCCCTAAGGCTAATTGCATGTACAGTGTTCAGAAAGAAAAAGTAAAGTGAATACACCGACTAATAATTAAAATAGCAAGTGTTGCAGAAGGAAAAAAATACCAGTAAATACACTTGTGAAGAATTCATACATGTACATATTGCCAAAACAACAGCTTTTAAGTACAATCGTACTACAATTAAAAGGAAGTGTCACTCACGTGAGCTCTTGGGCAGCCCAGCTCCTATGGACACACTGAGGACTTTGCTGGATGCTTTCAGAGTCGGCTGGTCTCCTGTCCCAGAGCTGAAGTTGATGTGTCTCTTTCCGCCTCCTCCCCAACCTTCCTTCTTGATTGTAAACTCAATCCTGAACAACACAAGATCACATCATTCTGTGATAAAAAGCAAATAAGACTATTTTTCTAATGGCAAGAGCCTTTGAAATAAACAAAAGCAAGAATACAAGTTCCTAATGTCACTCACGAGTTGCTGAAGTTGATTGGGAGTTTCCTGGCACAGATTTTCTCAAACCTCTCTGCCAGGATCATGAGAAACTCTGTCTTGAAGACGGACTCCAGAAGACTGTCATAGTCGTCCTGGATGTGCAGCACAAAGAAGGAATCCTGCAGAGGGCTGAAAAACAAACAAACAAGCTCCCATAAACAGATGACTCACAAGAGCATTATTATATTGCCAAGGATCATGTTGATGTTGATCAAATAAACCAGTCATTCATTCATTCATTCATTCATTCATGGTTTAGCATGTACAGGTCTGAAAATACTGGGTGCATAATATGCACTTTTAATCATGTCCACTTGGATCTTACCTGAGTGACACTGATGTGATCATCTCCAGGCCCAGTTTCCGTTTGATGACCTCCTTCTGCTGACCTTTCTCAGGACCCTTCTTCACCTGTAAAGTCAGGTCAGATGATTACCAGGGTGTGTGATGTTTTAGGATGTGAAGAAGAAAGATAAAAACCAGAGCATAGTCCCATAGCCTTCTTGGGGCCACAGGGGCAGTGGGTTGTTAACCCACTGTGTCTAGGGCACGGTATTGGATGGTGGAACCCACCCCTCTCCTTCAAGCACCGTTCACCTCCCCAAAGTCATGTACTCATTTTAAACCTGGGTGAAGTGAGGAAAGTCATGCGAAGTGCTTTTCCCAGGAATGCAAGGAATCGAACCATGACCTCTTGATTTCGTGTCCACTGAAGTAGTCAACTAGTCACTTAGTCATTCAATGCAATTCATGTGAAGGGAGGTACTGGTAGATCTAAAAGGTGTAACCGGAAATTTGGACCGTCAACAGTATTTGTTATCTTTCATCTAAAAAATGACAGAAGATGAAGTGATCTTACCACTTCTCTTCCGATCAGGTACAGGTACTTGGCTGACAGCAGCATGTCCCGTTTAGCAGGCTGTAGGGCACAGCAGCACAGTGAGGAAAAAATCATGGTCAAACTTGTATGAAGCACTGTCACATTCCTAAGTAATAGGCACAGACAGTATCTATTTCAAAGATGAGAATAAATAAATAATTATGGCCATAATGTGCATGCAGTGACTGATACAGCAGTTGTATACCTCTCAGAGCTTTGATACATCTACTTTTAGGGACTAGCCATTTCTTTCACTTTCCCATTGTGAAACAGTAACTGGAACATCATAATAATAATCCATAATCTTAAGGTCTGTCTTTTACCTGACAAGATAGAAACATCTGTCTTGACTCACCTTGAATCTCCTGTCATATTTGTTGACAGTGTCTGAAAATTCTATCCTTTCTCTCTTGGCTGGAAAACAAAGACACCTTTAGTGACTTGCATGTTCTCAATAACTGGAAAAGTTTATTAGAGCCAAATATACATTTTCTTAACATAAAATGTTAGCATGCTCACTAGCATGAGTGTAGTCATACATTGTACATGTAGTCTGAGAGTAAGAATCTCCCAGCCTACTCACCCAGCAGTGCCCTGAGGGCAGGCTTGTTTGCTAGCCCGATGTAGTCACCAACAAAGTTCCTGTTGAGGCTGAACCTGCGCCGCTCCTTCTGGTTGTACAACAGATCAGCAGCTGAGCAAGAACGGGAACATTTTAAGGATTGATTCTACCATTTTCAAAGGTGCAAGGCAACTTTGACCACCAGATCAGTTTCCAGAAAATATTTTGGAGACAGGAAGACAGATGAATATTGCTGTATCAACTTAGATATTGCAAGATTACATTGTAGCCTGATGGAGGTATTTGCATACAATGTAGATGTGTACTTGTGCATGACATATCTATGTACTATATGTATTCAGTACATACACTGGAAAGCAGACAAGTATAAAGTCATTGTGTTCACCCTGTCTAAAGAAAACAGAAATACATTATATATATAAGTATGTACCTTGTTCTTTCATCTGCTGAGCCTTCTTGCGGGCGATGTACTTCCTGAAGCCCGTCTGGATGACTCGGGCATAGCCATCAAACTTTCTCTCCCTCAACTCCTCCAGAAGGAACAACTAAACAAAAGACAAAGGAGGTTCCGTCTTTAAGACTTTACATGAAAAATGACACTTTGAATACTAGACATTCTATGGTCAATATTTGGGGGAATACTTTTATAGGCAGAATAATCCATTAGTATAGGTCATTCATTGAGATAGAAGACTTAGTACATGTATATACATGTACATGTAATGGTAGTACATAATACAATAATTATTAGTATTTGAGATGTGGACTACAACATGCATTTCTTATCTACAAAATTCATTTCTTTCATTCAATTCATGCAGCTTTTGCTCTCAATAAAACATTGAATAGGGATTGGTTTAATTTGTCTTGTTTGCAAACTGATGCAAACTTTTGTTACTGACTTACAGATTCTGGGTTCTTGATGAAGACCTTTGTGTGTCCGAGCTGGTACTGGTCAGACTCCATGTTGACAGAGCGCATGAGATGGTGGATGCCCTGTTGCGGGGGTCCACGCCACTGTGGCCAGGTCTCAGGAGTCAGGATTGCATATCTGTGGAACAACAGGACACATAATATACATCATGTCAAGAGTCTTTTTTACTGCTGAACAGGAAAGCATTTGTGACAACTTCATGTACATGTACATGTATGTATGGTGTAATTAAACGTATTCAATCAACTCTGTGAGCTTTTTTACAAATAGTAAAACCTCCATGTCTCTGTGGGCACTGGTTGTGATGATATACATGAATTTTTCAAGGTGCTTAAATTCATACATAATGCAAATTTTTCGACGAACATAATTGTGGGAATAAAAAGGTTTTGAACCTCTGAGCATTACAACTGTACAACTTTTTGTTGTTGTTGATGATCCGGAAGCCAGAACTGCCGGACCCATTCAACAATGTGACCTTGACCAGTTAAAATGTGACCTTTATTAGCCTCACCTCCTGAGAAACTTGTCAAACTCCCTCCTGTAGGCAAAGCCTGCCCGTCTCACACGGATGTTCTCCTTCAGCCCCAGATATTCCACCTGATGCTTCACTCTGCAGACAGAAACACACAACTCAGAAAACTGAGAAACACCAACTGAAAAACACCAACTAAACCATGGAAGAAACACCTTGTGCAAAGCTTGTGTTATGCCAAGGGGCAGTTATACCAACTATACAGATACAGAACTACACACTATCAATACATTTGTACTTTTGTTATTGATAGAACACTGTGCAGCAACTTCTTGTTACCTGCTGTCCTCCCAGTCCTTGGGTTTCTTGGTTTCGTTGGGTTTGATACACCTGATGTAGTGGGGAACACATTTTGTCAGAGAATCCACCAGCTTGTTGGCTTGGGTCTGCAGAAGGAGCAAGACAAGATTATCAAATATTATGCAAGCATTCACGTACATATTAATACTTAGAACTAGAAAGGTAACATTATCAAAGCAAAATCTATACATCATGTTCACCTTCACATGGTCTAGCCCATTCATATACATTGTACATGTATGACCAGCTCCTCCGAGTCTCTTCAATAACTTGCTACATTATGTAACTCAACACCACAGGGTGTCTACCACTGTACCAGTTACCACAGTGACAGCCATCTGGTCCAGGTCATTGACCTCTACATCTTTCCCTATCTCCTATCTCGCTGTCCTGAATTAAATGCCTTGATTACTGCAAGTATTGTAATGATCCGTCGATGAAGGTTAGACATCCAGGTAATACGATATGCCAAAAATCAGTTACTCAAGCAACTGGATATGATTTTGAAAACGTCAGACGTTTCAGCTAGTATCCACTAGCTTTCGTCAGTGACTGAGAGACCAGAGGGGAAAACAGGTTTATAAGCACAACCTATTGATTGATATGCAAATAAAGTGAAGACAAATTTTTGGAAGTCGAAAAAGGAACAAAAGTCAGACAAGTCAAGACAAGATGATGCAAATTAGTCTGAAAGCTCCTGTTATACAGAACAGGAGCTTAATTGTTGTCTGTTCTCGGGGCTGGGAGTGCCAAATCCCAAGTGCCGGAAAGATCGACCCGTAGCCCCCCTTCCCTGTTGAGGGTGGGGTTGCACTTGGGATTTGGCACTCCCAGCCCCGAGAACAGACAACAATTAAGCTCCTGTTCTGTATAACATTCTTGTCTGACTTTTGTTCCTTTTTCGACTTCCAAAAATTTGTCTTCACTTTATTTGCCTATCAATCAATAGGTTGTGCTTATAAACCTGTTTTCCCCTCTGGTCTCTCAGTCACTGACGAAAGCTAGTGGATACTAGCTGAAACGTCTGACGTTTTCAAAATCATATCCAGTTGCTTGAGTAACTGATTTTTGGCATATTGTAATGATCACAGAGCAGTTGGATGGTGACATTATTAAATGGCATTAATTCTTTAACATATAATATTGAACACTTCATAACTTCAAATAAAAAATTTACTGAACTTCCAACATGAGTATGTGGCCAGAAGTTCTGTATTATCTGACCTTGATCTTGTAGCTTGCTGTGGTGGGGCGTCCCCGTCCACCAGTATCATCAGGAAACAATGCTGCCATGAAACTACTGCAGATGTCAAACAGAAAAACAAATCAGCAAAAAATACCCCTGAAACTAAAGGAAAGCCACATACATGTCCAAAAAAACAGGGCATAGAAGATACAAGAAAAGATATACTAGGTTATGGTTTCATGGATTTGTGGTAAATCTTTCCCAGACTTACTTCTCACTGGACTGCATCAGCTGGATCAGGTCCACGTTCAGAACATCCCGGTTCTTATCACAAAACCCATCAGCATCGTAGGTCACCTGAAGGGTCGGGTTATAGGCAGTTAGGAGGGACAAAATAGTCAACTATTTTGCATTTGCTGGAAGTGCAATGCTGCTTTGATATGGATTGCATATTTAGCCAAACACCCCAGGCAACCCCTACCCTTCTTGAAACGTACGTTGGGTTGATGGTTGATGTTTGCTAAATCATTTCGATTGCTACATCTGTCAACTTTTCTATCTAGTGCAAGGAATCTACCAAAAATTCAATATTCTGGGGAATATATGTCAGATTATATTCAACTTGATCCAAATATCACAAAAACTGTCTAAAAGAAACTGCCCCCACCTTCCCTGCATAGTGGTGTATGACGAAGCCGGTGTTGAAGCCGTTGTAGTGCTGGTGTGTTCCCACCGAGGCCTGGAGCTTCTGTAGAAGCTTCTCGTCTGCTCCCTCACTCACCGCATGCATGGTAGCGCACACGTCGTCCAGGACCGCCATGATCATAGGAGGGTTCTGTGCATTAAAAAATGTACAGTTCTTTTAATGTCTGAATTCAGTATTCAAATTTTTGAACGCGGTGCATGTAGCACACACGAAATGTGTTCAAATTATTGTATGGAATTTTTGGAAGCTTGTGTGAGAACCCTGCATGGCAACACCTGTATCAAATGTTATCACAGCCCAGGAACATGCATGACATAAATTGCTATGGTACCTTGAGTTTATATTTTTGTTAGAGATTCCAGATCAGTGTCTTTCTCTGTGTCATTTTATTCTGTACTAGTATGCACTTTGTACATGAACATGTATCCTCCAAAAGGTAATTTGAAACATGCAGTAAAAGATTCAATTTGTTAGATGCTCATAAGTTTGGTCCTTTTGTTAGGCAATTCTTCTATGAATTCATGAATGACTTATCTGATTCAGTTGGAATCAAGTACTTTAACTTAAACTTAAGCACTGTTAGCATTATCCCATCTGCGTCATTCAAACCCTTTTAAGCCTTTCAGCTTAAGAATTCCTCTCTAATATGACTTGAGAATCCTAAAGACCAAAATCCAGTCTACTTAATGTGCTTTTCTTCACATACAGTAAACTCGTGCTTATACAGCAGAAAGGGATTTTCTGTGACTTAAGTTTGTATAAATCCCCCCAAACCCCTACACAACTGCTAATCTTTCCACAGAAGGTAAAAATAGGGTTTTATGAATAATCTGTTTTCCCCAGGGTTTCAACTGATAAGTGGCATTAGCATAGAATAGTTAAATCAATAAGAGAAAAAAAGTGAAAAGTACCATTTGTGACACAAAAACAAACATTCTGCAAACTTCGCAGGATTTGAGAATTCTATAACCTTATAAGTACACTAGTTCAGTTCAATACTTCAAACAAGACAGTGCTTTAGAGTAAAATCAACTGCAACACAAGATTTCACATTGGGCAAAGAGAAGTTCACCTTGCTTTCTATGAGGTCACACACAATCTTGTTATTGAAGTAGTCGATAGGAGTCCATTTGATCCCCTCCTGCACATACTCTTCCTGAAATGTGAGCAATGTCAACATTAGTACTTTAGCCTTGGATCATTGTCTATTGAGAGTTAAACTTCATACAGAAGTTTCATACAGGAGTACATGTATTGCACAGTTGTATTTTCATTGTATAAAGTCAGTTGAACAGACTCTAGTCCAGAACAGTACAATATAACTCTCATCTCATTGCAAGTTTTATTACAGACAAAAATGTTATCTAGTGAAACTAGCTTCTACATTGTAAGTAACATGCTAGGCAGATAAATCTAAATTTATGAGTCCAATACAAAGCTCAGAGGGCCAAAGCATGCATTTTAGACAAGCCTCACTAGGAGGCGCTGTTGTACATGCGTGTGACTTGTTTACCTGCTCAGCCTTCAATGTCAGCTCGATGAAGATCTGCTGTAGCTTCTCATTGACAAAGTTGATGCAAAACTGCTCAAACCCATTTCTCTGCAGGTAGAAATTGTTGAAACATGTGAGAAGAAAGACTCTGGTAGTATAGAAGCACCAACTATTGTTTTTCTTGAAATTATAGAGCCTGAATTATATTATGCTGTAATACAATAAATACAACATGTGGTCTAATAGTAAAACAAACCTGGAAGATCTCAAAGCCGTAAATGTCCAAAACTCCTATCACCAATTCCTCGTAGTCTTTCTGCATAGCTCCATTGATAGCCTGGTGAGAAATTTGTCGACAAAATCATTATCATCAGTTTACTTTTCCATCCTATATGTAGCAATGATCAGTTTACAAGAATATTAAGTATAAATATTGTTTAGGTGTTTTAAGTTATTCAGTGTTACATGTATATACCCAGTCACTGCTAAGTGTGTTATGCATGTGGGATTGTTACATCGGTTGATAAATTTTGATTCAGAAGAACAAGACTATTCCATGCAGAAATATCCTATCAAGCTCTCTCAGTAATGCTAGTGTAGCAGGCTAGAATATACCCCTACCAGACTGTACCTGGGCACATTCTTTCTAGGGGTACATTTTTGCCTGCTGCACTGGTACATGAGATGCTAATACAGAAGGACTTGACTTACTGCCACCAGGAAGTCGAAGACTCGTGAGTGCAGGGTTTTGGCCAGGGCGTCCCTTGCATAGTTGGCCTGCTCCACGTTCAGTGTGACATTAACCGACTCCGACCTGCCTCCCCACTTGCTGTCCATGACCCTACTGGTCAGCTTGAGCCGCAGGGCCTCCGGGTCAACACTGAGGAGGTAGGCAGGGAAGGACAGGACTGGACAGGGAGAGATGTGAGAGGAAATGTGCAGGTCAAATTGGAGCTGTGTGGATATTCCTGACATTTACCTGTGCCTAACCAGCACTGGTCCATGTACTGGGTTTATATACATTTATGGGTTTATATATATTTATATATCATAGGTGTGTATGTACATGTGGATTTTCATTTTCTGCAGTGACTGTCACCATCTATGCAATGGAAAAGAAATTAATTTGATAATGGCAAATGGTTTCTTAACAACTTTTAGTTCACATGTGATCCATATTTTCTAAATTCTGAGTGGTAAAGGTCAAACTTGTCTGGTGCAGGTAATTTTCAATGTTACACCAATGTACCTACACCAGGGCAGGTATGCAGGAAAAAGTATGTCAGAAGTATGTTATTAGACGTTGCACGACAATTTGACTCACATTCATCGTTCTCCACAGCAGCGTAGTTGCCCTCCTCCCTGAACTGGATGTTGCCTAGATGCAGAACTCCTGCCACCAGCATCAGCACATTGTCCTGGTCCTCCGGGGAGATCCCAATCACATCCATTGCATTCTGACAGCAGACAAACAAGAACAGGCAAACTCAATCCTTGTACCTTGTACTTTGCTCCCTTAACCCCAGTCATGGTTGTGGGGGCACTGCCAAAATCAATCACTGTCAGTCAAAATCAATTTAAGGTTTATGTTAAAACATGCAAACTTCAATTTCAGATGACCATACCTGCTAAGGACTTAACTTTTGACTATAAATCAAATTAACTTACGGAATTTGTACAATGTACCTTTGACAGCAACTTGGTCAATTGTCAACTATCATTGAACTATACAACCAATGTGCATCAAAATGAAGAACAAAACATTTTTTCCATGGCTGCAAGTTGTTGGGGAATGCCCTTTGCTGCACATTACATTAGAGCACACAATGTAAAAATACTAATCTGATTTTATACTTTTTATTGTTGCTTTGTCCATGAAGTAAATGTCACACACCGTAACAGCTGTATACTAGAAGTTATATGAAAATATATGTATACTGATGGTTTATTCAGCAAGATCAAAAAGTTGAACATACCATTGTATCCTGGAACTCTTGTCTGTCATCAGTACCATCGACCTTGTACGCACCGCTCTGGTTCAGGTAGTAGTAGTACTCTGGGTCGGTCAGTCCAAGTTGTTCTACATCGTACAGTAGGAAGAGAAATTTAAATACAGAGGAAACTTAGTCTTCCCAAATCCAAAACATGAATCAGGGCTCCAAACTTATTATTGGGAATATATGTAACCTAAAAATTTAGTAAACCTAGAAAACTACAAAATTATCATTTATTTAGGAATGCTTCGCCTGAAGTTTCAAAATACTTATCTGAGTAAATTAGAGTCAATTGTAAAACTACATACAAGTCCATTTATAGCTATAGTGTAGAAACCAAAAATGAAGTTTGTGAGTCAATCTCTTAGTCTTACATGTGCAGTAGACTACAGTCATACAGTGTTTAACTATTTGGTAGCTGAATACTTACAAGGGTCTGACAGCCAGATAGCTTTGGCAACACAGAAAGTATAACAGAAAATCAGGTCATAATTATGAAAGAAATCAGGCTTTGAAAGGAGAGAAACAAGAGGTTAAAAGAAGAAATGTAAACTGTAATAATATAATAAATGTTATGTAATTAATATTAAAACAGAACAAGAAAAAAGTAGACCATGCTGCTTTAGATATGTAGCACAAATGTTATCAGTTTATGATGCACATAGCTAGCAGTACTATCAAATGCAAACAAGAGAGAAGCAATATATACGTATGTGTGCCAACTTAATGAGATACATATATTTTAAACATCCCCTACCTCTTTGTTCGTTTGTTGCCCCAGCTAGCAGTTGGTAGAATATATGGAAGTTTCTCTCATTTTCATTTTGACCAACAACTCTTGACTGTAGAGGAAGATAGCAAGAACAAGAGGTCAGTGTTTAAATAACTGTTACAACAATATAGACATAAGGAATTATAGTCAGGGTCTTACATACTGAAATAACATTCTTGTCTTGTTGGAAAGGTGAGAAAATCTTGCTTGTTTTAAAACTGCCCTGTTCACTTGACATGCATGCATGTAATCAGGAGTTTATAAGGAGCTTAAACATGATTGTGTTTAAAAATTCATACAGTCATGTACATAAGTTGTATCACTAAATATTTTATATGCACAATGTCTATTGTGCATGGAATAGACAATGATACAATTAGTCTTCAACTTGTAACAATAAGCACAAACACTTGTATGTGTATAAATGTGACACTGTAAGAGGAAAAAGATGTTTAAACCTTTTCTAACAGAAAGTTGGATATTTTCCCCCCATCAGGCTCTCCTCCCCTGTCAAACTGGATCTCTACGTACTTCCCCTGCAAACAAAATGAAAAATTATTACAGCAAACATTGGTCTTTGTACTATTTCATTTATATATGAATTGGGCATGGGTCGGGGAAGTCAAGTGGACATTCAACAATAGCACAAGGCTGGAAATACATGTACCACCTGCATTGTGAATATGGCCTTAAATGAGGCATTCTGCTGAAGTGCTACATACATGTATATTATAAGTACATTCAATACATTACGCAGGGCTCGAAATACTTTTTTCAGCCAGGTGGCGCATGTTGCCACCTGAGTCAAAAGCCAGGTGGCGCCATCAGTATTCAAGTGGCAACACTTCCAAGTTATCATTTTCTTCAAATCTGCTACTTATATCTATTACGTTTTCTTCTAGTTAACTACTAAGTTTTATGTTATAAAATAAAGTAATGTAAAGAACAAAAGCTCTCAAACAACAATGTTTTAATAAAGAATGCCACCTTTACATGTCTTCAGGCTCAGAGCTTCTACTGTTATTCTCGAACAACAATGTTCTGTTATGAGCTTCTACTGTTATTCTCGAACAAAAATCCATATCGGGCAAGTGCATGGTCATTTTCACTTGCCCGAACCAACTTTTCACTTGCCCAAAATATATATGACATATTTTGATGCATTCTTAATTGCAACAATGCAATCCTTCTATTTTTTATAAATAAAAACACTGTTAAGTTATTAGGCAATTTTATGTCAAGTTACTAAAGATATGATGTGTTTGACAACATGGGACAATATTTGCTGCTACTGAAACTATTTCCTTCAACTTCAAGGTACAAACTTTTGTGCAAAATATACTGGTACTCTAAAGACAATGTTCAACAAAACAGGTAAAATTTTCTACAAATCTGAAGAAGCTTCATTGGCCAAAAAAGAATTTATTAAAGCCAGTGTACATAAAACTACCTTAACATAATTTCATTCAGCTAAACCACTTCCTTTACCATACAGAGTAGAAAACATAAAATGGGCAGAATAATCAACAAAAAAGGTGTCATTGATTTGAACTTACCAGTAATGTAAGACAAGTTTCAACACAAATGTCTTTTTAATAGTACCTTCAAAGAAACTTAGAAGTTTTCTATGCATTTCTTAAACAATCTTCAAAACAATCTAGCCCAGTGTTATCTTCCGGTGACCTGTAAACAAATGTAACTTACAGCAAGGACCAAGTCGTCAAACAGATTTCCTAAGGGAAATAGGGGAGTAGGAAATCAGTCACGCATTGCCCAACTTTCATGCCCTTATGGGTGGTTGGGCCACAAGGGAAGATTCCATTTCAAAAAACCAACTTAGCCAACAATCTTATCTTTCTGGCTGTTTAGAATATTCTTTCCTTCATTTTCCCCCAAAAAAATTTAAGCCTGATGACAGTTCAAAACTCCCCCAAACAATTCTAGAAACATCGTCTGCTGTTCCTGCACTCCCGCAACGCTGTCAAAGGCAAGATCTCGTCACGTCACGTGATCCCTCTAGTGATATAAGGATACCAAGTCTCGCGAGAGTACGGGCCCCCGAGACCAAAACAAACATGGCGCCGCGGATCAAAATTAGACGAGGCGAGACGCTGGGCCCCGGGTGTTTCGTAGAAAATAAAGCTATTTACCGATTAATCTGTCAAGGTAATGGTATCTAGGGACTTTTAATGGGTTTATTTACAAATGGACATGATTTTGACTGGAATTAATTGGTACGTTTGCGAGAAAAAATCAGCAATTTTGCCGCTGTACTGGGGTGTCACAAAAATTTAACTTTCCCGATCGGGCAAGCCCAGAGGGAGATGTGCTTGCCTGATTAGCACTTTTACTTGCCCGGGGCAATCGGGCAATTTAACTTGTCCAACCCTGCTGCCACCTTTACGTGTCTTCAGGCTCAGCTGCTACTGCGGCACACTTATGCGGGTGGTGTTACGTGCGCCATGTTCTTCGTTTGCGCAAGGATGATGTTACATGTAGCAGCTGGGGAAGAGCGGTGTCGCAGCAGTGACGTCCCTACGGCAAATTATAGGTGGCGCGCTGCGCCACCTGAGTTTAGGAATAAGTGGCGCCAAGCAAAATCAGGTGGCGCCGCGCCAGTGCGCCACTGGGTATTTCGAGCCCTGCATTACGGGTTTCGAGCAGGCGCACTACGTTCTGCCAATGTGCTTGTACAGTGTCTGTAGAATTAAGAGCAAATGTGTTTAGTCTGGATGTGGGCACTTACAAATCTGCTGGAGTTGTTGTTACGAACTGTCTTGGCATTCCCAAATGCCTCCAGCAAAGGGTTGGACTGGAGAATGATGTCTTTAACATGCTGGGACAGGGGAAGAGAAAACATCAGTCAGTTCAAGGAAAAAGCACATTGCTCTGTTGGTATTGGAAAGGTTTCTATGGCATTCCAGACTTTGTTTCCTAAAATAGCATTTGGTCAGAAGAAGGGCTTTCATTTCAAAACAGTAACCGTTAAGGCAAAGAAGTCATTATGGGAATGTTTATTAATGACATCATGCTTTGAGCTGTTAAAAATATTGGTTGCTGCCTGAAAATAACCTTCCTAGTCATATTGTTTTTAATTACAGCATATAGCAATAAAAAAGCAATCACAAGAAACTAATTAATTCTGACATCAAAACATGCACAAGAAAGGCAACAAAGCTATTTCTGTTGTAAGACAATGTGTCAGTTAGGACAAGACAAGACCTGACAATAGACATGTTAAGTTGTTTTTTACCTGTACCCTTGCCCCTCCACCTGAAACCTTGGCTATATAGTTCATGATGTACTTGGCTGCTACTGTTTTCCCTGCACCACTTTCTCCACTGAGTTGACATTAAAAACAAAAATTTACAACAATATGCAGTAATATATGCAATGCAGAACTTTTTTTCTATTGGTTAGAGATTGGTCACGAGTAAGCTGGATTTGACTGGCCAGTGATCTAATGACCGTTCAGTCAGTCTAATGCAGACACCCATGCTATGAGTTATCCATTCTCCAAACTTTATGCTGCTTATAACATACACGTGCATGTATGTCATAAGAGCAAGTATCATTTCAAACTGTTACAGGATGATAGGGATGACTAAAGAGGAGTATAAGTCTCAGGAAAGTTCCATTATACGCATACAGTAATGCAGAATTTCAATTGGACAAAGCATACATATATCTGCATGGCTCTCTCCATGGCCAAACATGAAATTAAGATTATAAAGATGTACAATCCATAGTTTTACACACCTGATGATAACACAGTGATTTTCATTGTCAATGAGCATGTTCCTGAACATGTCGTCTGCTAAGGCATAGATGTGAGGAGGGTTCTCATAGATAGCCTGGAAAATAACAAAACTTTGTCATACTCCTATAGGTAAATATATCAAAGAATATTTAGACCTTAGAACAAGTCGTATTAGTTGACTTATCTATTGTTTTACAGGTTCTTTTCGTTGTACCCATGTATTTGTCTGTTATATCTACATGCAGTTTTAGACCTTACGAAAGTCGCTGTACTTTTGTTGTGTCAATAAAATACTCGATATTCTGCTATCATGTATACCAGTAGTAAAATATGATAATCATGTACTACATTATGCATGCACAATTTATCAGAGCAGTAAAATTCACTGAAGTGAGAAATAGGTGAGAAGCTTTCTTTAAATATAGATTGTGAAATTTCAGTTGGATATTTCTTTTCTGTGCTAGTGTATCATAGTCATACCAACACTCAAAATCTATATCATTGCATTGCCTAAAATCTATCACTTTTCACATGTTCTATGGTCTGTCACTTACAGCTCCCTGATATAGTTCTATCTCCCTCTCTGTGAAATAAGGCATCTGTTTGAAGGGGTTGACAGAGATCAGCACTGGACCGATGTATGTCTGAGGGGAGGGGTTAAGGATAAAATGGAATTGACTCTGATGACCTATAGCCTGATCAACATGACTGTTGTAAGTCTAAATGTCAGGTTAAATCAAGATCCACCAGAATGCTGCAGTACAAATTCTGAAACAAGTGTTCATAGACCTCATACCTTTGCCAAATGATATTAAACTAAATATGACTGTCAGATGTACGTTTCTCATTGAATATGCAAATAAGGTCTTCCAACTATGCCATGATTTGCATAATTTATGCCTATATCATCATACCATCAAACAATGCAAGCATGAAATCTAGCAATTTCAACTAGGAAATATCTTTCAATAAAACAGAAACATTTGTTGAAGGATACATAGATGAGGTCATCCATGAACCTCTTCTTGAGATTGTCGACGATGGAAGACTCCTGGATCTTGGGGAGGAGCGTCATGTCGTCCACCCCACTCTGCTTGATGTTCAGCTTCTGCCAGTGATGGTACGCCTGGATGGAAAATTACAGGTATAAGTTCAACATGTTAAAAATGAACTAGTACTACTGTTTTTATGTGTTTGAATAAAAAAATAACTTTGATCTTTGTGTACATACATATGCTTTGTACAGAATTTTAAGGACTTCTCTGTAAACCAGTATTAGCACCTGAGAGAATTACAAAAGTACTCTACCCTGGAAAAAGAAACACACGTACATGTTTAGTCAAGTATGTTTAAGTGTTGACCACAATTTCAATGTCAGTACTTATGGGGAAGGGCTCCATAGAGCCTGGGACAGAGAGAGTTTCTATTCCACGGGCTAAGTAATCTAACAAAGTACACACAATTGCAGTTGTTCTTGGGGACAATAACATTAGGTGAGGCAGCAACTATATATACTAGTCTATAGTGCTACATGAATACATCTTAAGTCCCACTAATAACAGATCACAAATTAAAGTTACTTTTCACCTTGGCAGAAACAGGATGATCATGGCTACAGTCTCCTGTTGAAATCTCGGCCAAAGAGCACACAAACGGCATGGTGCCACAATGTAACGTTTGGTCACAATGAGAGGATGTACTACTGATGATCTCATCCCTACCCTGGGGAAGTCATGGGTTCAATCCAAACAGCTGTCCAGTAATTCCCAAGGGGGAGGGGGGCATTGCTCACATACACAAATGTGTATCAAGCAATATATCATTTTAAATGACTCAACACTATATTAATTGTACAAGTATACCATGGCCCAGAGCTAGGTACAACTGTTACAGCGTCTAGTCTCGTACCTGTAGCCTAAAGGAAATTAATTTTATAAAGCTGGATACGACAGCCCCAAGACACAATTTTCTTGATTCTCTCAGGCCTTGCTTCTTTTATTGAAGTGTATAAAATTTTGAATTTTCTGCATTTTATGTTTGAACTTGCTGTACTACATCCATGGTGTATGGTGTAACTAATTCTACAAGTCATGAAACATAAACTACAAACTGTACTGTTCAAAAAATCAATGTTGAGATAAAGAGATGTAACAACACATTTTTCTAAATAAGGTCATTGAAGCTTTGTTACAAAAAACCCTTTGCTCTAATCAAAATTGAAATGATGAGAGGATAACAGCTACATCTATGTGCTTGCTTGATATTTGATTATGACATTGAGATTTAAATATTACAATTATTGTATTTTTCCATATTTTTTTAAGGAAGATATTATCGTTCTGTGTTTCACAATAACAGACAGACATCTGAATAATTGATGAGAAGTTGCTGAGGTGTGGCTATCATCAATGTTCTATTGTGTAATACTGTCGGCTCTTTAATGGGCATCCAGATATGAAATTAGAAATGACAGGTACAAAATGTACCTTAGGCCACACCAATTTAATTTCTTGGTTAACGGATTCGCCCGCTTCATTTTTTTCTGATTTGCAAATAAAAATAAAAATTCAGAATCAACTGCAAAATGCTCATATTTTGCCCGGAACAGTTGAAAACAGTCCTTTTCATCCTAGTTGTTACAGTTATTCCATCCTTCAATGCAGTGGTATCATTAAAAGTTCAAAATTCATTGTTTAAATTTTGAACCAGCCTGGTGTGTTGACTTCATGGCTCCTATCGTACCATTTCGGACCATAATAGGATGCCTAGGCCTGTTTTTATTTTTATTTTTTTTTCGCCCGCTCGCTCCATTATTTTTCTAGAAAAATCCGTTAACCAAGAAATTAAATTGGTGTGGCCTTAAACTCTATCAACACATCCAAATACTAGCACTAACATGAAAAATTGATTTTTATGAAGTGTGTGCTTGAACATTTTCCATATGTTGCAAATGGACCAGGATCTAGATTCCTTTTCTACAACATTTCTGACTGACATATTTCTTAGTATGACTAAGGAACAATAATTTTCATGACAGCTGAAGACCATCCAATTCTGTAGATTTATTAAATCGAACCAGCCACCATACTGTGCAAGGACGTCTATCACTAAGACAACTTCCCGTTGAACAGTGGTTTTGCAGGGGAGCCCGTACTTCCTGAAAGTACCACAGCACCACATAAATCATATCTTTGTGAAGGAGGAAGCTAATCTACAAACACAGAGAATCTCTCTGTTCCACAAAGGGGCGGAACTCAAACACTTTTAAGATAAACAATGTCCTTACCAGCAGGGAAGGTCAGATATAATTAATCAGCCACAAAATGTATATCATTATTGTAGATGCCCAATTGGAGGAAAATTTGACAGTGGTAAGACCATAACTCAGTTTGTGGAGAAAAATATGCAGCAAAAATGTGTTAAAAATAAAACCGTAAAGTTGTGGTTATCTCTTCTCACCCAGTGATAAACAATATTCAAATCAGTCAAAGTCCTTTATAACCTAATCATAATCACTAACCCTTGCACTTAAACTAATAGAGGAAGTACAAGTTATGACCTCTGTTACGTTGGGTTGTACTTTAACTCATATTACTTCAGAAAAAAATCAATACAAGGGCTGATAAATGACACCATAAACTAGAATCATTACATTAAGACCACATTTCATCTAGTCAAACTAGACACATTACAAAAACATGCCATTACATCGGGTCAGTCATTTGATTACAGGACAGTATGAATGTACTTTCCTGCCTAAATCATTCACTGAACTGGGTCAAACGTGTCAAAAGGGATCTGTCTTTTGTGCAGGTATTAGTGAAGAATAGCTTTAAGTCTGTATGTATGTGTGTAACAAACAACATCAATTCTCAACTGTCCATATCAACTTGTCTGAATGAATGACTTCAAATGTTTTTCACACTTGTTGTTTAATTTAAATAAAATTGCAATAAAGCCAGATGAAGTCAATGCTTCAAAGCCCCAGACAGCAAGGGTTTATCTTGCATGTAGGCTACTTTGAAAATCAAATCTTAAACATACTTGTAATTCATTTTCGTAGATGAACACCCTAACCTAAATTGTGAACTTTGCTGATTTACAAATTTTACCATACCCCATGAAAGCCCCCTTCACATAAAGAGTGGTTAGGCTCTCACACAGAGCATGTACATATATACATGTGTAAAATCACCAGCTTCTGTACATGTCAAAAGGTCAGGTCAACATAAAACACAAGTCTTATTGACATTGGGGTGGGCTGAGTCTAGCGATAGAGCTGAGAAAAATCAGTAGTAATCTTTAACCACACTTGGACATGGTTCAACGTTCTGACAAGTCAGACAAACAACAATGAACACTTCCTCACTCACTGTTACAACTAGTACAACCAGTGACTTACTAGTAGTAGTAACACAATATTGTATCTGCCTAAGGGTATGTAATTATGTATACCTTCAAAATTTAAATGCAAACTGATTGTGTCTAGTCTAGGTAGATAGTGGTATTGTTGGCAGTCTTTTATGTCACTTCTTTATAGTTATACTCCTGCTGCCCTGCATCTTGAAGTTTTACCAAAGTAAACATGAGTGTAGATCCACTGTGCAGCTGGGTCATTCCTCAGGCACATCTGGACACCCAGTCTGTGTTATCCCAGACAGCATTTGGCTGCCAAATACACAGTCTGGGTGTAAAAATAAGCCTGGAAGGAAGATGTGGCTGCCACAGTATATTTGCAGAACTTGTAATCAGTAGTCAACTATGAGTAGCTGTAAATACTACATAACGGTTAAACCTCCAGCTACTGTAAACCAGGCCGCTCAAAATACCACCTGCATAATAAAAGGGCATATGCACATAATGCAGGTAAAAGTGCAGGTATCTTCTGATGTCTATGTGCTCCTAACCTGCACTGGTACCTAAAATGGGTTACCACCAATGAAACGTAAAAGAAATAATGGTTTCTGAACATTTTTTTTGTGTAGCTGTTTTCACACCTGCTGTGCCATGACATCATCCCCCATGGGGATATTAATCTTTACAACATCCCAGGGGAATAGTGCATTAAAAGGTTTCTCTAAGGTATATATTAAGATTAGTTAGAAGAAAGGTTTAACAATTATATACATTTATGTATGATATTTCCCCTCACAAAGTTATTTTCCCTCACAAAGTTACAAGTAAGCTGGTTTATAAAGAACTCAACATGTTTGCATAGTACATGTAACAGAATTTACAGTTATACCTGACCAAAGAAATACAAGCCTTACAATGATCCTATATTCATGAAAGGAAAATATGGAAGTAAAACATGCGACTTTCAAATGTGACTTTCACATTTTACACAGTGCCATCCTGGTAGCTATATATTCAATTCAGTCGAGTGAAATGGACAGTGCATTACAGTCTGGCAGATTTTACACAACCACACTCATAAGTACCATATCTGGATAAAATCTGGTAAATGTGAATTGACAGAAATCTGTGTGCAATTAAAGATGGAATAATATATCAACAGACATTATCTGTGCTGTTCTATAAAGGACATTAGCACTTGCAAGTACATTTTTCCTTTGTATGTGTTGATGAACGTTTGGCTGTCAGGAGAATTCTACATGGGTACTGTAGTACTACAATGTACATGTACAGTATGTTACACAATATGATACTGGATACAGGAAATTGCCAGTTGACAGTGCTGGTCTGTCCCAGTCTATTCCACAGGCATGACTCAGTCCATGGTCTGACTACCTACACAGGGGCTACATTGGGGTTTTCTAGGTTCTGATATAAGGGCTCGAAATTCATTTTTGGAAATGGGTGCACTGATGCACCCAACCTAAAAAATTAACTGCACAAATTTTTTTTGGGTGCACCATAAAAAATGGAATGAATGAAATGTCAGCAAAAACCAAGGACATTATACTACCTTGTAAGCCTATGAAAATGTTTGGGATGCATTTTGTGACTATTAAGTGTATGTCACAGGAAGATATCAATAAAAGATATCTATATATGGAAGTGTTTGTGGATGGTGTCAAACTCACTGACCTAATTCATAGACCTTTAGTAATCATAGACACAATCTTTGAAGTATTGACTGTGGTCTTCTGCATCTTTCAGGGAAGTTACTACGTATTGCATGTAACATAACATGTTATACGAATTAAGGGATAAAATCACGACAGGCAAAAATTGTTACCTATGTCCAGCGGCAGTGTAAACACTTCTAATCCATTATCAACAGGTAATGCAAATTTTGTCAGATATCACAACTGTTGCAGGAAAATCAATATATGAAGGTCCAAAACAAAATTGTGGCATTTTAAACTGGAAGAGTGTGAAACAGTCTCATGTCTTTTCGAAGTCTATTCATGGAGAGCACCACTACGATTCAGTAAACCCCCAGCCGAGCCTCCCTTCAAGCTTCAACAGGAATCTAACACATGGTCTCCATATCCAAGCACTATCACTGACCATCACATGATCGCCCCACATGAATGTATGTATTATGTATGTATGTATGTATGTGTGTATGTAGCCTAAACGCCTGAGCCTACATTTAATCCCCTCCTGTTCCAGGACAGTGACGAGAATCGCTGGAAATCGTCCGAGGATTACTTCTAGCGAAGCCTTTGATTTAGCAGGCTTTCCAACCAAATCTCGACTGGTGTGGGCCTACTGTACTTGGATAATAAACAGCTCATGCATCAGTACTGACCACTAGATCCAGGCAGGCAACCCGGCGCACGCAACCGTAACTTATAACGCACTGGCGGTATGCGCAGAAATCCGCTTGGGTTTGAACTACTTTATAGAGCAAGAATCATTTTGACAGTCGCAGACAATGTCATCTGTGCAAAATCTAGTCGGTAGTGTTAGGAGTCAACTTAAGCGGCGAGAAAAATAAGGTCTACAGTTGATGTACACAAAGCCACACCTTCAAACATATTTGCGATTACACAAAACTCTGATACGGCAAAAACATTCAAGGACTTCTTACCATTTCTGGTGATTTCTGGGGTCCACATTAATCCAAGAATTCCTCAAGCCGTGGAACTTTGTTTGTAGGTTTTCTTGCTCGAGTGGTTAAAGTTGAAACCCAACACTTTGGCCAGTTTTACCGGCTTGTTGCTTCAATCGGAAACAGGAAGTGAACAACTTGCAAACCTGCCGCCAACGCGCATGTCCGTTAAAGTTGGGTGGTGCCATTCAGGAATGGGGGTGGAGGTTACTTGTGTACCAAAACAACAAACTTCAACATTGAAGTTTTCAACTCAAACTACACTGATTGAAACATACTAATAAATAAGTAGTGTTGTTTCACAAAAAAGCTGAATATATCCTTCAAAAATATGATAACTTGATGTCTTTCAAGACTGTCTACTGTCGTCCATCTTCGGCAATCTCCGGAAGTGATCGGACCGATTACTCACATATCAAGTTACTACGAAGGCCCACAACGACGCTTCCATAGCGCGATTCTGCGGACCTTCCACAGCGCGATTCTGCGAACCTTCCACAGCGCGATTCTGCGAACCTTCCACAGCGCGCTGCCAAGGCACCTTCCACAGCGCGATTCCGCGAACCTTCCACAGCGCGCTGCCAAGGATATACCTTCCATAGCGCGATTCTTCGGACCTTCCACAGCGCGCTGCCAAGGGCCTTCCATAGCGCGATTCCGCGAACCTTCCACAGCGCGCTGCACCGAGGCCCTACAACCCCTCCCCTATTTTAGCGGACGGTCCCTTATAGCCAGCTCAGATACTGTACAAACGTAATCATATTTCAACCCCTATTAAAAGGGAAATGATTTATTATATTAAGTACGAATTTGTTGTGTTCTATTTTCTTTTCCTAGCGCACTGGACCAAGGATTCTTTGTAGGCTATTCTCAATTTTTTTTTTACTTTGTGTGACTCAAGAAGTATACTGTAATTACTAGTAATAAAGATCATAGGTCTAACATTACATTGTTTTTATCATCTCTAAATCTATTCAGCATGAAGAGTATTCTGCCCTTATGGGTTACCTGTCAGAATGTATCCAGAGTCTGTATCATAGAAAACTTACTTAACACTTCACTCTTTCTTTTACAAAATTTTATTGATCCTTACAAACAACATTTTGCATGATATGAAGGTGTATTTCTTTAATTAACACTACTAGTAGGTTTAATTGATTTTTTTCTTGCTTGAAGCTAGAAAGAAAGATTGTAAATGTGACCTTTTCTTGCATAAACGAGTATTGTCTTTACTAATGTCACTGTTAGGACTTCAATATCTCTTTTCGTACACTGCTTTGTTTTTTTGGACCGTCCGCTAAAATAGGGGAGGGGTTGTAGGACCTCGGTGCAGCGCGCTGTGGAAGGTCCGCATAATCACGCTATGGAAGGTACATCCTTGGCAGCGCGCTGTGGAAGGTCGGCAGAATCGCGCTATGGAAGGTTCGCAGAATCGCGCTGTGGAAGGTTCGCAGAATCGCGCTGTGGAAGGTTCGCAGAATCGCGCTGTGGAAGGTTCGCAGAATCGCGCTGTGGAAGGTTCGCAGAATCGCGCTGTGGAAGGTTCGCAGAATCGCGCTGTGGAAGGTTCGCAGAATCGCGCTGTGGAAGGTTCGCAGAATCGCGCTGTGGAAGGTACCTTGGAAGCGCGCTGTGGAAGTGTCGTTGTGGGCCTTCGTAAGTTACAGTGTAGTTCTACAAGTCTGTCCACAGGCGTGTCCTTGGAGAATCCATCAGGAATGACGCAGATGACCGGATGTTGACAATGACGTTACATCAGGGCAATGGTCGCGTAAAAAGACGACTCGGGATCATGGAACGCAACGTCTGAAAGTTCGTCAGTGGTCGACCATCAGAAAGTTACAGACTGACCAAATAGTACGAACAAAGCCCTATACGTAAGACAATGCAACTATTGGCAGTAATAGTATCGATCTAAACGTAAATATTGTTATCAGTGTTGTATATTTCAAGAAAACAAGTACTGCAAATCTTAAAATCGTTTCTTTTATTACAGATACATGGAGTTCTGCTTCTTTTTCCATAAAGCATATTAAATATAAATGAGCCATTTTATTTCATCGTAAATCGTAGCCGGCCGCTTACTAGTATTTAACGTTGTCGGGAACGCATTATACAATAACAACTTAATTCATCGTTAAGCGTTAACTGGTCGTTGACTAGCGTCGTTGACTTTCTGATCGTTGACTAGCGTTAACTTATACCATGAAAGCTCCTTTACTTTTACAAGAACAACTTAAGCTATCGTTAAGCACTAAGTTATACAAGAACAACTTAATTGATCCACAATCATTAACTTGATTCATCGTTAATTTATCGGTAAGCGTTTATAGCTCAATGGCCCGCCCGAATTAACTGCGTTATGGCCCTCCTAAATTTACTGTTAAGCGTTCCTGGGATGCCCCTATGCAGACCCTCATACATGTACATGACCTTGTAGGTAGGACCATGCCCAATCACGGCTTCTTACACAAGAAGTGAAGTTCTCCGGGACTGTTAAACACGTCCAGCAGCTGTATATCGGCAAAATCCTGCTTCCTGCAGCATCTGAGACGCCAGCTCCTGCCCCCACATGGAGCCGAGACCCTTCCCACCAAAATACAGCGACACTGGCATGCAGTGGAGCAGGCTGATGCCATACGGTATGGGACTCCCTGGGTCAGTCATGTTGTCGGCAAGTTCAGTGTGTCCCCTGATGTCGACCATGGAGAAGCGCCCTCCGGACTTGACCATGCGGAAGATTTCCCGCAGCGCGCGCTCAGGGTCGGCCTGGTCGTGCACGCCGTCCCAGACTAGGACATAGTCGAAGGAATCCGACCAATCAGCAGGCATCTTGGCCAGGTCCTGCACCTGGAACGTGATGTTGGCCAATCCGCGCTTTTTGACTTCTTCGCTCGGCCACTGGATGGCGTCCTCACAGAGGTCGGTACCGACGAACGTGCTGTTTGGGAAGTGTTGGGCCAGGATGAGAGTGGTGATGCCCCTGCCGCACGCCACGTCCAGAACTCGAATTCCTGATTCTGGGCGGAATAGGAAGTATGAATACCATGGAATGTGTTTGATAATAGAATGCAATCCGAAGACGATTGCTACTTTTCTTTAAGTGCCTGCAGCTATAGCTGTAACTCGATGTATTGTGACTGATCTACAACAAGGACAAAAGAAAAACAAAATTCCACATAAAGACGTCGACAACGTTCCCGCCCTGGAAAAACAACGGAGTAGTAGATTTGCTTCCCTACTCATTGTTAGCTGAGGAGACATATACTCCGTACGTACGTGTACAACTGGCAGATTCAAAGGTGAGGCAATTCAGTACTCCTATCTCCTATCCTAATGACATTGTATTCATCAAATGTCAAGTCTTATATATACAAGTCTGCTGTGTTGAAACGTGACTATTTTTACCCAGGTCTTCCCGCAATCCTGGAATGGTAGGTAGAAACTTGTCCACCAGACTGGTCTTATGCTGCATCTCCCTCATATCTCCCATAAACGCATGGAATTCTGGATAGGCCGAATACGGTAGACCTTTTGATGAAAAGGAAAGTGGAATTAGTTAGTATAAAATAATGACAAGCGATATCGATAAACAGTTGGGTGGCAAGGTGGTCTGGTGGTTAGGACTGTTAACTCAGAGTCTAGAGGTTCTGGGTTTGAATCCCTAGGCCTGGCAAGTTTCACTGTTGTGTCCTTAGGAAAGGTGGAAATGAGTACCTAGCTTTGGTTAGGGACGTCCTCTCGGATGGGACGTAAGTAAAGCCAGATGTCTCGCGTATTTGAAGAGAACCGCATACACCTAATTAACTTCGGATCCCACCGCACTGTAGAGTAGGTGTCAAGGTGTATGTGAGTGGTTCAAACCTTACAGCCCGGGCGTACTTTCGTGACAAAGCTTGTGTTTTACTTACGGGTTATGCTCAATAAACGACACAAACACTGACCCTTGGGCCCATCTGCTAGGAAGCAGTCCTCCACGTCACCCGCAACCCGAGCAACCTGGCTCATTAGGTGTGACATGTTCCCGATGCTGCTCATTCCCGCGTCAGGCAACAAGGCGCTCAGCCTGTGCTTCGGTAGGAAGTAGGTTTTCTTTTCCTTGTCGTAGTCAATAATCTGACCGGTCACCATCACGGCCAGCCACTCGCGAACGTACCTAATCGTGAGGAGGAAAAGCAAACAATTTTTTAAAAATTTACTGTTTTATTATGGTGAATTGTTCGCTGATTCTGTGTCTATTCCAATGTCACTTCTTCCTAGCCTGCTGAGACAATTTTTGACCCACCAATTCGACCTCCCTGTCAGTCTGTGGTCACACCAATTTCTCCCTCACTACCTGCGACTCGACTGTATTCAAATAACTTCGGACACACAAGCAAACAAACACACTGATAACAAAACCTCCATCCACGGAGGTAGAAAACGATGGATGTGCAAATGTATTTTTCTTTCCCATGGACTCACATCAATTTCAAAGCTCCCCATCTGGCGACATGCTTCGGTACTGCTGAAGAAAACGTGAAAAATTAATGCCAAAGGTGAAATCCGGGTCAGCCAATGTCAGCCACATATCTGGACATAACTGTTAATGTTTAACCAAGGCCGTTGGTTTAGCCCAATGTCGTGAGACCTATAACACAACATAAGTGCCCCCAAGTTGAACTTGGTCGAAGTCATCTGAGCCTAAACGTTACTGTGAACCTTGAGCCTGTTGTTGACTAGCCCTTAAACCACACAGCTTACCTTTCCTTCATGTTTGCCATCTCTGCGATCTGTGCAGACGTCTTCGGACCGTCCATACTTGCCAGGTGCGGAACAGGCCTGTGCGGACGCCCATGGACATCGCCAGGGTGACGAACCCAGAAGAGACGGTTTTCACCATTCTCAAGCCGAACTCATCTGCCGTCTCTCCCTTCTCTTGAGACATCTTACAGCATGTGAGACTTACGCTACGGGTGTTATCGATTCAAAGATTAAAGGTTTCTTCATGCACACCAGCACAAGGGCACCTCTGCTATACAAATATAGGGGTTTGGGGACTGTACGATATTTAGCGAGGGAGGGCAGCTGTTTAAGTTTACACAGTCTCTCGCTGTGGGTACAATGTATCAATTGTGCAGTGACGCCTGTCCGTTTACCACGGGAGAGCACTTAAAACTCTCAGCTGGGGAGCTTTGAATTTAAGAGCGCTTCCACGGAGATCTATACTAGTAGTAAGCTCTGGGATGTTTGGGACTATGGTGCAATTTCTACGTCGGCAATTTCAAGGAATATAATCTGAGCGCTCAACACATCAAACTCAACACATCGAACATACACTACCAACATGACGATACTAGGAAACTAGAAAGGAGAAACAAGAGTTTTAATTAGTTTCACACACATTCGTCGTAAGCGTAACATGACTGCCTCCCCACAGCCAATGGCATTGATTGCAGTAAGTGGAGAAAGCTGTGGTACTTTGATAGTTATAAAATGTCCTGATNGCGCGCTCAGGGTCGGCCTGGTCGTGCACGCCGTCCCAGACTAGGACATAGTCGAAGGAATCCGACCAATCAGCAGGCATCTTGGCCAGGTCCTGCACCTGGAACGTGATGTTGGCCAATCCGCGCTTTTTGACTTCTTCGCTCGGCCACTGGATGGCGTCCTCACAGAGGTCGGTACCGACGAACGTGCTGTTTGGGAAGTGTTGGGCCAGGATGAGAGTGGTGATGCCCCTGCCGCACGCCACGTCCAGAACTCGAATTCCTGATTCTGGGCGGATACAGAATAGGAAGTATGAATACCATGGAATGTGTTTGATAATAGAATTCAATCCGAAGACGATTGCTACTTTTCTTTAAGTGCCTGCAGCTATAGCTGTAACTCGATGTATTGTGACTGATCTACAACAAGGACAAAGAAAAACAAAATTCCACATAAAGACAACGTTCCAACCCTGGAAAAACAACGGAGTAGATTTGCTTCCCTACTCATTGTTAGCTGAGGAGACATAAACTCCGTACGTACGTGTACAACTGGCAGATTCAAAGGTGAGGCAATTCAGTACTCCTATCTCCTATCCTAATGACATTGTATTCATCAAATGTCAAGTCTTATATATACAAGTCTGCTGTGTTGAAACGTGACTATTTTACCCAGGTCTTCCCGCAATCCTGGAATGGTAGGTAGAAACTTGTCCACCAGACTGGTCTTATGCTGCATCTCCCTCATATCTCCCATAAACGCATGGAATTCTGGATAGGCCGAATACGGTAGACCTTTTGATGAAAAGGAAAGTGGAATTAGTTAGTATAAAATAATGACAAGCGATAAACAGTTGGGTGGCAAGGTGGTCTGGTGGTTAGGACTGTTAACTCAGAGTCTAGAGGTTCTGGGTTTGAATCCCTAGGCCTGGCAAGTTCCACTGTTGTGTCCTTAGGAAAGGTGGAAATGAGTACCTAGATTTGGTTAGGGACGTCCTCTCGGATGGGACGTAAGTAAAGCCAGATGTCTCGCGTATTTGAAGAGAACCGCATACACCTAATTAACTTCGGATCCCACCGCACTGTAGAGTAGGTGTCAAGGTGTATGTGAGTGGTTCAAACCTTACAGCCCGGGCGTACTTTCGTGACAAAGCTTGTGTTTTACTTACGGGTTATGCTCAATAAACGACACAAACACTGACCCTTGGGCCCATCTGCTAGGAAGCAGTCCTCCACGTCACCCGCAACCCGAGCAACCTGGCTCATTAGGTGTGACATGTTCCCGATGCTGCTCATTCCCGCGTCAGGCAACAAGGCGCTCAGCCTGTGCTTCGGTAGGAAGTAGGTTTTCTTTTCCTTGTCGTAGTCAATAATCTGACCGGTCACCATCACGGCCAGCCACTCGCGAACGTACCTAATCGTGAGGAGGAAAAGCAAACAATTTTTAAAAATTTACTGTTTTATTATGGTGAATTGTTCGCTGATTCTGTGTCTATTCCAATGTCACTTCTTCCTAGCCTGCTGAGACAATTTTGACCACCAATTCGACCTCCCTGTCAGTCTGTGGTCACACAATTTCTCCCTCACTACCTGCGACTCGACTGTATTCAAATAACTTCGGACACACAAGCAAACAAACACACTGATAACAAAACCTCCATCCACGGAGGTAGAAAACGATGGATGTGCAAATGTATTTTTCTTTCCCATGGACTCACATCAATTTCAAAGCTCCCCATCTGGCGACATGTTTCGGTACTGCTGAAGAAAACGTGAAAAATTAATGCCAAAGGTGAAATCCGGGTCAGCCAATGTCAGCCACATATCTGGACATAACTGTTAATGTTTAACCAAGGCCGTTGGTTTAGCCCAATGTCGTGAGACCTATAACACAACATAAGTGCCCCCAAGTTGAACTTGGTCGAAGTCATCTGAGCCTAAACGTTACTGTGAACCTTGAGCCTGTTGTTGACTAGCCCTTAAACCACACAGCTTACCTCTCCTTCATGTTTGCCATCTCTGCGATCTGTGCAGACGTCTTCGGACCGTCCATACTTGCCAGGTGGCGGAACAGGCCTGTGCGGACGCCCATGGACATCGCCAGGGTGACGAACCCAGAAGAGACGGTTTTCACCATTCTCAAGCCGAACTCATCTGCCGTCTCTCCCTTCTCTTGAGACATCTTACAGCATGTGAGACTTACGCTACGGGTGTTATCGATTCAAAGATTAAAGGTTTCTTCATGCACACCAGCACAAGGGCACCTCTGCTATACAAATATAGGGGTTTGGGGACTGTACGATATTTAGCGAGGGAGGGCAGCTGTTTAAGTTTACACAGTCTCTCGCTGTGGGTACAATGTATCAATTGTGCAGTGACGCCTGTCCGTTTACCACGGGAGAGCACTTAAAACTCTCAGCTGGGGAGCTTTGAATTTAAGAGCGCTTCCACGGAGATCTATACTAGTAGTAAGCTCTGGGATGTTTGGGACTATGGTGCAATTTCTACGTCGGCAATTTCAAGGAATATAATCTGAGCGCTCAACACATCAAACTCAACACATCGAACATACACTACCAACATGACGATACTAGGAAACTAGAAAGGAGAAACAAGAGTTTTAATTAGTTTCACACACATTCGTCGTAAGCGTAACATGACTGCCTCCCCACAGCCAATGGCATTGATTGCAGTAAGTGGAGAAAGCTGTGGTACTTTGATAGTTATAAAATGTCCTGATGTGCGTTTACCAGGGTTATCATCATTAATATCATTATTTCAGTCGTTAAAGATGTACCCCCGGGATTCTGGTATATTGCAACGATTTTACACAACGTTTTGGGTAATTCCTCAGTTAGGGCCTAGTCACATTCGTCGCACGATTGCAACAGGGCATTCCTTGGACAGTCGTGTATAGGACACGGCACGAAGTATGTTCATGATCAAGAGGTACGACTAGAGTAAAACTATAGGAATAATTATGTTGCATTTATAGAGTGTTGGGGACTTCTAAGGCAGTCATTCTACTACATTACCTGCCAGCATTATTTAAAAATTTTAAGAGTTATCATGGCTTTTCCTATTCATAGTCGACGTTTCTAAAACGAGCTTGCTTAGCGCACCGTTGCACAGTACTTATATTTCCTCTCTAGCCCTCTTGACCAGCGGCTCCTGCTGCACCCTTGCTGGGCGGCGGCTCCCTAGCAACTCTACCTGCACCACAGTTCCCGGCTGGGCGAGATGTAACGGGACGTAGGCGTAGGCTAGGGACTCCTGTACCCGGTAACCGTACGCTCCGGAGGTCGTAAAACCCAACCACCTGGTAAACAGCAGATAGATGAGTCAATCGATCAATCAATGAAGACTGCACATATCATCGTTGGACATGACCTTCTTTTAAACTGTGCTGATTACACATGTATTCACAACGTAATCCAGATAGATTTTGAACGGACTGAAATAAACAAGTGATGACAGGGATACTGACCTCCCCTGGTGCCAGATGGTCTCGTTCCCTCAGCATCAGGACCATCCTCCTCCACCTCCACAGTCAGACACACCAGCTTCCGGGTCAGACCCTCCTGCTGCAGCTGCTGCAGGGCCGCCTTACCGATGAAGTCTGCAGGCTGAACACAGTATAGTACATCGTCACGTGTACAATGGTACTACATGTATAAGACAAATCACAGTACAGCGTAATAACATGGCTGGACACGGTACTAAGACAAATCACAGTACATCGTAACATAGCTGTACACTATAGAAAAATACCTCACAGGATCTCATGGCTACCTCCACACAGCCAATGATTCTAGCAGGTGGAGAAAAATGTTTTGCTCGTAGTTACAGAAATGCCCTGATCATGAAACTTTGCATACCTTGCTCATTTTGATGAAGGAACCAAGACCTGCTTCTAGAGGGTTGTTATCCACTGTCATCTGAAATGAGTTCAAGGCTGTATAAGAAATTAATCCTTACAACTAGTTCCGAACGTTGCGAATTGCTAAACCGTTCAAGAGTGTACAAGCATGTTTGCAGCGAGATAAACAAAAGTTTCTGGTCTTTGAGCTGACAAATTTATGTTTATATCTCGAGAAACTAGTTTCACTACCGCCACGACGAAATGTATTGCCAGTTAATCAAGAATTTTAAAAAGCACACAGACGAAGCTTAAGCATAAGTTGTCGTCGAATGTTTCAGTTGTTCCTTACCTCAGCCCCCCAGCCCCGGAAGCCCTTCTCCAGCCTGAGGGAGCCCATGGCGTAAGTGCCGAAGTCACCCAGTCCAAACTCCTGTCCTGCCGACATCAGGGCCTCATACAGCCGGGCTGTGTCCTCTCTGGCGTGGTACAACTCCCAGCCCAGCTCACCTTGCAACAGAAGTGATGGTTTTAGGAGCTGTGGATTAGCCTTATTAATGTACACAAAACCCAGTGAAATTTTGCAGAAATATCTTTGCAAGACAACATGCAACGTTTTAGTCTGATGAAAATTTGGCTGGAAACTTTCAATTGATCTAGACATCTAGGCCGCCATGTTGTTGTCATTATTTCCCTGTGATTTGGGGTAGAACATTATAGTCCGTGGGTGCGTACGGGAAATGCGACGAAAACTGCCTGCAAATATAATACTAGTAATTTGTCTATCTAATGATTCCTGGCAGGTATATCATGTTTGTTTGTTGTTTAAATTTCACCTGTGTACGATATCCTAACGGCTTTGACGCGAACCCCACCCAGACTGAGCTGTTGGCAGCTGAGGAACTTGAACCCCTCCTTGCTCAGGTCATGTGAGGTCAGTTTTGCCAGGACCCTCCTGGACCGAGGACCTGCGATCCCGAGCACGCCCATGTCGTCAGTGACGTTGGTAATGACCACGTCGTAGCCGCCCTTCCATGCATGGTTCTCTATCCATCTGTGGGAAAGAACTCGGCTGTCTTCATATTCCTCCACTTTAAAACTCCAATTGCGATTTGAAAAATCTATATTTTCCGTGTACAAACTTCAATAAAAATTTTGCAGCCTGGCTTATCACTCTTCAAGATTTTCATCATGGTAAGAAGTGGCCCATGTCGCCGGAGTATTTTAGTACTAAAACTAAGTAAAAGTAAAAGCATTCACCATGGCGTGCTTAGCATCTCATTGATATTCTTAACGTTACACTAATATTCCAACAGGAGAACTGGATTCACCTGTCACCCATGGGTTCTTGGAGAACCTGAAAATGTACCTGAGATCATGCAGCTCGGAGCCTGAACCCGTGACGAGGAAGAATTGGTCCTCTCCAAGTCTGGTTACCGTCATCTCCGCATACACGCCCCCACTGGGGGTCAACATGTGGCTGACACGCGTTCTCCCAACCTGCTTCAAACAAAGTTCGAGTACTCGAGTACGATTTAAAGTAAAGAAAAAGACAGCACTTGAGGTATAGGCATCATTTCTTATTTAACAAGGTTTATAATGTAAAAATTGGAAAATGTAGTAATCTTGTTTTTTTTTTTTTTGGTACGCCTTGTTGTTGTTTTTTCCCCTTTCGAATTAGATTTGGTGTCTGCGGAGGATGCCATTTATAAAATTTACTTCCTGTGGCCTTAAAGGAAGCTACTAGCTAGGGGGGCTGTCCTCTCTAGGCTAGATATTGTTAAGAACCTAGTAGGGTACTGCTATGGTTATAGCTGTCAATCACTTGAACTTTCAAGATTGTACTTTCCCCTTGATAAAGTAAGAGTGGTTCATCGATCTATATATGACAGTCTCATCACTTTACCTGGGGTAAATTGTTCGCGAACAAGTAGTCCAGCAACCTGGCTGCATCCGGACCGCCGACTTCAAACTTTCCGAACGGTGTCAGGTCAATGACCCCAGCCTTGGATAGAACCAGTTCGCACTCCCTCTCGACCGGATAGAACCAGTTGGTGCGTCTGAAGCTGGGACGGTAGCCGGGGGCGTCACCTTCTTTAGCAAACCAGTTGGGCTGCTCCCAACCTGTAAATATAAGAGCACAGGCACGGAACCATTTTGTTACATACAGATGTAAACTGTGGAGTTCAAGTATCTGTAAGATTTGTTCACAGAACTAAATCTTGTAATGAATCATACAATAAAATGACAAAGAAGCTATTATTTAAAAATAGTCTATTATCTTCAATCACTGCAAAATAGCCAACTTAATATGGCGCACTAGCTTGTCGAAGATCAATGGTTGGTAGCCTGGTCTGACAACACCGATGTAACATCGCTATTCTCTTCCCATCTACTTAAGCTGTTATAACTTTTACTC